TATCTATCTATCTATCTATCTATCTATCTATCTATCTATCTATCTATCCATCCATCCATCCATCCATCCATCCATCCATCTATCCATCTATCCATCTATCCATCCATCCATCCATCCATCCATCCATCCATCCATCCATCCATCCATCCATCCATCCATGATATCTGTTCTACGGTATCTATCTATGGTATCTATCTGTCCATCCATCTATGGTATCTATCTATGGTATCTATCTATCTACGATATCTATCCATCTATGGTATCTACGATATCCATCTACGGTATCTATCTACAGTATCTATCTATCTACACTATCCATCCATCCATCTATCCATCTGTCTATCTATATCTATCTATATCTGTCTATGTTTAAATTCCCTGAGTAGACTGAAAATGAGTGAAAAAGCCACCAAAGTATTTTGATTTTGCACAATAGCCCCGCCTTTTTTTGGCCAAAACCCCACCTCCATACTTTGACTGAAAGCAAAATGAACTTCTGAAGGTTTTGCCAGAACAAAACTGTTAAATAAAAGTATACAGCAGTTCTGTAGCCTGCAGGTGTATAAATTATACAGTCTACGTTACAGTGCTACAGCAAATCAACTTTTGGCACCGTCTCGTAGAGGACCACCAAGTCTACCTGCGTCAAAGTGGACAGACAACATGTTCACCTCCTTACCTTTGTTGTTGTAGACATCTAGATAGTTTGGAGCTGAAAAGATGGTGATAAGGGACGGGAACCCTGTGGTCTGACTCTTTCTGTACATGCGATATCTGGAGAAATGTAGAGAGGAAAACCGCGAGTTTAGAACAGAACGATTGAGACACTGGAGTAAACGACAAGTAGAGACGGTTTTCGTGGCTTCTTGTTGCCAGTTTTGGTGTGTTTGAGTCGAGCCGATGTGTGGACACCTCCACACGCTCTCAGGTCATCAAATCCCAGTTCTGCAGGTGAAACGATCTCATACTCAACATTGAATTATTCCAAACCAGCTTTAAATCTTTCTAAATCAACAGACGGGATGTGGATTTTAAAATTTCAAGTCATCTACCAGCTTATGGTTTACTTGTTTGACATAAACGTTACATCGGGGGGGCAGTGAACTCACCTGAGATGTGGCCAGGTGTCTCATGTGTCCCTGCTGTGGGAGTAAACGGTAAACAACTCCCCTCGCCTCGCTCACAGCAGAATCAGCTCAACACACCCAGCCCCCCAGGTTACAGAATACAAACTACAAAGAGGTTTGCCTCTGTTTGAGCTTGAAATGCTGGATAAACTGCTGCTTCACCTCCTGCTGCACCTCCTGCTGTGCCTCCCTTTTGGTTGTTGCGTAGCTGCAGCCGTAACCGCGAGCTTCCCCCAACTTCTTTTTTTCTTAAATCGGAGCTCAACCATGTCTCCCTGACTCGTCCTCGTTGCATCACACGAGGCCGACTCACCCTCCATGCCAGATTCATTTTAATTTCTTGGATTAACGTGACCCCCCCCCCCCCCCACCACCACCTGATTTCTCGAAATGTGCGCTCATCCTGCTCCCCAGACGAGCTCAAAGGAAGCCCTCCTGATACCAAAAACCAAACGCTGCTTTTCGTTTAACTCTGAGTCACGGTGCCGTGCGACAGCGGGACGGGAGGAGACAAAACGTCACAACACTCACCCAGCATCCTGCGCTTCGTGGGCCCGGATGATGGATAATAAGTTATTGTGTTGTAGAAAGTCGCAGACTGCAGGGTAGCTGTTGAATAAAGAGACATTTAGTTTACTCGTACGTCAAGAAAAATCCCAAGACGGGCGATCAATACAAATAAATAAATAAATTTTAAAAAAGGCGAAAGGTTTATTGATTGTACTCAAAGAAACGGAGGACAAACAACCCAGAGTTCAAGCTAAATTTATTCTAAGACCTACTGCAGCAAATACTGAGACATTTCCACTGAAATTTCTATGAAAATTAGAGCTAAAATCAAAAAGGCTGACTATATGTTTATATGCTTAATATTAAACATTTCATAGTATCAGATCAGGAGTGATGATCTTAAATGTTAAAATGTAATTTTCAGTAAATCTAAGGACAAACGTACAGGAGGGCAGAAATCATATCACGCTGCTTCATCAGATATATTTATAACAAATAGTACAGGAGCAAGTTTTCTGTTCACGCTGATCTTTTCACTCTGCGAGCAGCGAGACCAAAAGCTTTACAGCCGAGTTCAGGAGGACTTTTTCTCCCAGAAGAAACCCGAGGCTGAAATTTGTTTTGTGCCTTCAGTCAAACGGGAACAAGACAATTACCGGTAATTTAAAACCGTTAGGCGCCTTGATTCTGACATGTTGTTGAAGCATTGGATGCTAAGGACTACTGTGCTGCACTTTATTTAGACCTGTCTAAAGCTTTGACACTGTGGACCATGACATCTTATGCCATAAGTTCTCAGACACTGGTTTCTCAGATCACACTATTGGTTCATTGCCTCCGACCTCTCAGATCGAAGGCAATGCGTTCAACATAATGGCACTTCTTCCAGTTATTTGTCAACAATGGTGTACCACAAGGCTCTGTCTTAAGACTTTTTACAATCTACATAAGTAATTTAGGTCAGATCATTCCTGATGCATCCGTACATTTCTATGCCGACGACAGTTGTTTTTTGTCGAGCTAGAACGGTTGCTAAGGTTTTCCAGCTCTTACAGTCTGCTTTTGACATCATCCGGTCAGATTTGTTCCATCTGTGCTAAATGCTGATAAAACCAAAGGGATGTTGTTTTCAAACAGGAAGTCTGTAACAGCAGTCCTTCCTTCTATCTTATCTATGAATGGTGTTCCTATTGAGTTTGTGGATCCTTATGAGTACTTTGGAATCTTGGTCGATGCACATCACTCTTTTAAGCTGCATGTCTAAAACTTGATAAAGAAGCTGAAATTAAAACTGGGTTTCTTTTTCAGAATAGATCTAGCTTAACTCTGAATGCCAGGAAACCCTTTGTAGCTGCTACTTTCCTACCAGCCATTGATTATTGGTGACATTACTTACATGAATGTCCCTGCCTGTACCTTGAAGATGTTGGATGCTGTCTACCATGGCACACTAAGATTCATAAATGGTTGTAACTACTGTACCCATCATTGCACTCTGTACTCCTTGGTCAGTTGGTCATCATTTTCTACACAAAGGCTCTCACACAGGTTAATTTTCATCTATAAAGCCCTCCTTGGTCTGCTGCCTTCTGATACCTCCTCCCACGTGTCGCGTCGTCAGTGCAGTTACAACATGCGCTCTCAGGCCATCATTACCTGCAGTGTCTCCTAGTGTTCGTTCAACCTTTATTTAGACAGGTTAATCCCATTGAGCCTCGAGGACTCATTTACAAGAGAGACCTGATTTCAACGAAGAATGATGACAGCAATGGACAACGACAACAATAGACAGTTAAGGCATACAGGTTTTTTTTCAATTTTTTTTTTAACAAATTAAAATAAGATGGCAAAAACAGTAACAAAAGTAGCTAGATTATAAGGCGAATGTAGAAAACTAAAAACAGTGTGGACTGAACTCGGCAAAAAGGCCTTCTCTTACTCCGCTCCTGTAACGTTGAACACTTTACAAAAAGATCTGAAGCGGTCTTCTTTGACCTCTGAGGGATTTTAAACAAGAGTTAAGTTCAATAGAAAAATCAAAGTAAAAATATTCCCGTTTCTAGTTTTTTACCTTGTTTTTATAAGGCACCTTGATTTGAGTTAGATTTATAACACTACTTTTACTTTTTATTTTATTTGCATTTTTTGTTGATTATTTTTGTGTGGACCTTATCTGTGGTTTTGTCTAAAACAGGTCTCTCTCGAAAAAGAGTCCTCGTGACTCAACGAAACTAACCTGTACAAATAAAGGTTGAATTAAATTTTTTTTTTTAAAGAGTATTTTTAGGTAAATTAAAGTCTTGTGTGAAGAAGACAGGAAATCATCTAACTGTTGATTAACTTCAGTCACAAGAGAACCTGTTGGACTATCAGTCTCCTTCGACCCGCCTCACCTTCTCCACTTTAGTCTTTGTGTATTTATACAACCGTTATGTAAAAGTACAACCAGTATTTGAAGGAAAAAAAACTCCGTGGTTGAAAATTGTAAAGTGTTATTTAAAATCCAGACACAGTTCTGTAATCCAAACCCGACCCCTCGGCACCATCAGAGCTTAGCGAAGAACTGAACTCCCACACGTCGCAATCAAACGCCGAGCTCTCCACCGTCTTCTGAATAACGCCGTCTTAAAAGAATTCTCTTTCTGCTCTCTAATCAGCGCAGCAGTGAGGTTTTATAACGAGCGAGCTAAGCTGCTGTTGAGTTCTGGTCAAGTGTGACGCATCGAGCTTCACGAAGCAGCGTTAATGTGTTTCTTTTTGGAAGTCCGTTAGGAGTAGACTCATTAGAAACTGAGCTCGCATGAGCAAATTAAAATAAGACTTTTTTTTTTTAAGTGCCCATTTTTAATTTTTAATGCCTTGTAAAGAGGTGAGTCACTGCAGCTAATTGAGTTAGGAAGAATTCATCAATAACTAGAGAAATTGCATTTCCTGTGAAAATAATGTGTGAATGCTTATTGCTGAAGAACTTGCTGAGAAACAGCTGAAATTAGCTAAAAATCATGCTGAAATGTACCTAAAATGGAAGAACAAGCCTAAATTAGCAGAAGAAATCAGAAAAAACACATATTTGCTGAATTAGGTTTAAATAAGAAGAAATGAGCACAAAAATTAGGAAAGTAGCTAAAAAAAAGCTCAAATTAGCAAAAAAAATGGCTGAAAATTAGCGGAAAGGCAGAAAGAAGCATAAACTACCAGAAGGAAGCAGAAAGAGCTGAAATGAGCTAAAACAATGTGGATTTGGTTGAAAAAGCTCAAACTAGCATAAAACAGCTAAATAATAGTTGAAATTGCTAAAATAGCTGAAACTAGCACAATTAAGCTGAAAGGAGCATAGCATGCTGAAAATAGCTGAAAGAAGTTAACTTCACTGAAAGTAGCAGAATTTACCATGAAAAACTTGAATTTATCTGAAAACAGCCGCAAAGAAAACAAATACTAAAAAGGTAGCTGAACAGGTAAATTAAATAAATAAATAAATAAGATAAAAATAGATGAAAAGTAGCTAAAAAAAAAAAAGCAGAAAGAAGCTGAAATTACCAGATGGAAGTGGAGAGAGCACATTTTTGCTGATTTAGGCTGAAACATTTGAAACTATTGCAAAACGTGAAATTAACTGAAAAGCTAAAATTTACATAAACCTGCTAAACAGTAGCTGAAATAGTAGAAAAAGCTGAACTTTGCCGAAATAAGACTAAAGGAGCATAACAAGATGAAATTAGCAGAAGTTAGAAGAAGCACAAAAATGCTGAAAAAAAAAAAATCCCAGCTGAAAATAACTGGAAAAAAGTTTAAATTTGCACAAGGAAGCTGAAAGAAGCTGAACCAGAACAAAATGTGAAAGGAGCAGTAAAAGGCTGTAAACAGATTAGAGATGCACGATATTGGATTTTTGGCCAATATCCGATTTGTTAAAACTTATTTGGCCGATAACCGATACTGATATTTTTTTCCCCTAGACCTACTTACAGAGACTTCTCTGCTGTGGGATTAAAATACTACATTATTCTACATAGTCTTTGTAAATCTGGTCTGATACCAAATGCAGATCCAAAAAGGGGACTGAAAATGATGTAACACTTCAACTTTGATTATGTTTAATGTCAAATTTATTTATGACATTTACTCGAAACACAATGACGACACTCGGACAGTGCAAATTTGTAAATTTTCACAAATCTAAACTCAACCTGTTTATAAGCAACAAGTGAAAAGCACATAAGTAGTAGTGCTTTAATAAATATATTTGTACTCGAGTTTCTTAAATTAAAAGCTAACTTAAAACAGAAGCCTTTTTATATATGAGTTTTTTGATGGAATGGCCGATGTCCGATATTTAACTTTATCGCTAATATCGGCCGTTACTGAAACCATGCCGATAATATCGTGCATCCCTAAAACAGATCTAAAGATTTGAAGGATGTAAAATGAGCTCAATTCATTTTCTATGAGAAAAAAAGTGGCAGAAAAGGCTAAATATTTCAAAAAAGCTAAAGTTGCACCAATACTAAAAGTCATAGCAGGATTGTCCTGAAACAGCTGAACGTTTTGATTCAGGTTGAAATAGTTTGAAAACTGCGGGAGGAGCAAGATGAAAACAATAAACATTCACACAGTTAAGATTAAAGTGGACATGACAACAAATGTTTACGGTGACAAAAGGGACATTTTCCAAAAAGAAAAGGTCTTTTATGAGCTGGAGTTATTTTCTTTTAGTCTGTAGAAATGGAAAAATATAGCTTTATTCCTCACTCCGTCTCCCTTCAGCAGATGTAATAATTTCTCGTGGTTTGTTTATTGTTAGATTTAATATATTTTACATTTGTTTGGAGGTAACCGACGTTTTGGTTCAGATCATCTCCCATTTCTCAGCAGCTTTATTGCACATAAGCACCCATATTTTTTGATTAAACATCATTAATAAAACGTGTTAAATTGTAAAAAAATCTAACTTGAGGTGGACTGATTTATGTTTCTTAGAGGAGGCGGCCATATTTGAAGCTTGCGTAATTTCATGGCCGAGTTGTAAAAAGTGTTACGAGCGGAACCTGCGGCGTTGAGGCGAGCACCGCTCACTGCAGGACCGGAGCAACAACGCAGCCTGATGGGCTTTTTGAGGAGGAGCGCCGAGGAATGCCTCTCTCTTTCTGGCTGAAACCGTCTCATAAATCCTGAAGGCCTGCGTGAAGCCAATTAGCCACCCTCCCCTGGGCAGATCAAGTGTTGGACGCTGATGAAAGCCAGAGTCCGGAGGAATTTAGACCAAATGGCAGCAGGGTTAACGAGGGTTCACCGTAAATATGTCTGACGTTCAGATCTGTTGTTTGGGGATGTTTGTTAAAAACACGGCTACATACCCAACATACCTCTGGTCACGCTTGAGTTAAATAAAAACATTAGTGGCGGTGACGCCTCATTTAAGCTAAGAGGAGAAAGTTCGGCAACATGCCCTCCTTCCTGCAGCGCAGGGAGTCCATTTATGAGCACGAGCCTTTAAATAAAATTAAGCAAGTGGTTATGAAACACCTGCTGCCCGTGAAAGAAAGAGAGAAGCTGCTGGAAGCCTGAAGACATTTTTTATGACTTCTGCTGGCTGGACTGTAAACGGAGCAGAGCGCGTTTAGAAACCGGACGGAGAGTCGTGGTACCGCGCCACGGTTCGAGATATTTTCCATCGTTTGTCCAGTGACTCATAAATACTGGCACAAGTTTCCTACAAACACAGAGTGGAGGAAAACACCTTAATATTTAAGGAATTTGGCATAATACAGCTGTTTGTCACACAGATGAAACAGTTTCTTTTGACCTCGACGTGGCCAAAGTGAAACAGGAAGTGACATCAAAGAGGAACTCCTCAGTCGTTGATAATTGAAGTAACCTTATTTGAACTCCAACTCTTCTTCGTCTCACTCTGATAGAGACTCAAAATAATCTAAACCACAGGTGTCCAAAGTACGGCCCGAGGGCCATTTACGGCCCTTGCAGTGATTTTGTGCGGCCCACAGCTGCAGTTTAAGAAAGGCATCATTTTGACCAGCAGGCTTAAGAGGTCGATGGGGACTTTCTGCACATTCATTGGTAATCCTTTTTCATATAATGTTTAGGTTCAACAGCAAAACAGATGAAAAACAATTTCTCAAAATGAACAATATTAAGCAAAATACAAACTTTTGGCTATACTGTATTTTCCACTGTACACGTCGCACCGCCCTACAAGTTACATCAGTCCAAATATACATAATAAAATGGAAAAATCCATAAATACGTCACTTTGCCGTATACGTTGCATTTTTTAGGCGTCACCGCTGACGCGTGGCGTTTGTTACACGTCACCGCTGACAACCCGGAAACGTGGGCCGGTGTTGTGCCAAAAATCGATTGGCTGCCAAATGGCAGGTGCGGGAGGACTTTAACAAGATTAACATTTAAAAACAATTATTTGTTTGCTCGAAATTATAGAAAAGGTGCGTCTCAGTCTAACTTTTCCACAATAAATGCACTTTGACGGCTGCAGCTGCATTTTCAAAAGCCGATACGCGGAAACATGTACGGCGCAGAGGGCGACTCACTGTGCATTTCTTCAAAATTTAACAAGATAACCACCTAAAACAATTGTTTGTTTGCTGACTTTATAGTAAAGGTGTGTCTCAGTTGAACTTTTACTTAATAAATGCACTTTAATGGTCAAAGTAGCTGCATTTCACCGGGGCGGCGCAGAGAAATGAAGCCGATTTAACGGTTGCTGTAGGCAGATGACAGTGGCAGGCTATGGCAAGCTGATTGCGTCATAAATAGCCACTTTTACCTATTACATGACACAACGGCATGCCATACTACTCGAGTGCCATCTAGCGGCTGACAATGGTAGTGTTCAATATTTTCAGTCAAAATGAATGAAAACGGTCATATCTCAGCCAAAAATTGGTTTATAAATATGGAAAAAATTCACAAGTACGTTGCTTCTGCGTTAAAGTCGCAGGGCATGCAAATTATGCAAAAACACGTGACTTATAGGGTGAAAAATACGGTAATCTTTTTATTTTCACTTCATGGTACAAAACACCAAAAACCTTTACTGATTTCTACCAGAAAGGGGACTTTTGGATAATGACTCAGAAAACTTGGCTAAATATTGCAGTTGATAAAATAATCAAGAGGGAAATTGGACATTTTTAAATGAATATAACGTGGTATCATCTACATACGAGTTGATCATCTTTACCAAACCTACAGTATGAAAGTGTTGTAGCAACTGACAGATGGGCGATTTTTCTGAACTTTGATCAGCCTTTTTGGCCGTCCATGGTCCAAAAGGCTGATGGACCCCCTTTTAAAAGGACACTTACTAGGGATCACCAGAGCGAGCAAACCACTGAGCTGCCGCAGCCCACACGAGGAGCAGAGGGCGCCGGGGGGAGCAGTGGGGGGTTAAGGGTCGGCAACCTTCCATTCACAGGCTCGTCTTCTCTAACTTCTGTACCACCTCTCCCCCATATTCAAATTAATTTTCATATTTAGATGCTGCATAGATTTCTAACCCTCCTGCGTTTTGATCCAAGGGCAGCAGGAGGGTGAAATGAAAGCCACGTTACCGACTACAACGGGTTACTTCTTGATTAAAAGGGCGAGAAAGCAAAACGCGGGGGGGATAGAAATCAAGAGTTTTGTTTATGTTCTTTTCCAGCTTTTGTTTATTTAAAGTTGAAAAATTGTGAAATTTTTCTGAAATTCCACTCCTCCCGCTCGAGTTTGAGGTGTGGCAACTTCAACCCTGTGAAAATGTCTGCCGCCCTCCATTCCTGTTGAAAAACCTCTTGAAACATTATTTATTAACCGAAGCATACAGCCCTTTCTCCTCAGTAGTTGTTAAGTAGTAGTTTAAAGGGATGTGAACAGTCAGCCTCTTTAGCAATGACCTTTTGTGTCTTGCCCTCCTTGTGCAAGATGTCAGTGGTCATATTTTGCGCAACTGTCAAGTCAGCAGTCTTCCCCATGATTGTGTAGCCTATATTATCATAATATAATATAAAAAAAGGCTAAATATTGCGACTTTGTTTGCAAAATATGTCACCATGGTAAGTCCAATTGCCAATAAAAGAAATAGCACCCCTCTCTGTGCCGTGTCGGTCGTTTTGATACAACTTTTGTGGGGGTCCACATTGCGGTTCGGGCCGTATTAATGGAGATAGAAATCTAGACACATGTATGAGGTGAATAATAATAGGTGCCATGGAGTCAGTGCATTGCCTTGCTCTCCTATGCATTGCAATGGCAGTCCCCAGTTAAACTCTTAACGAGGACAGGAATGATACAGGTCTTTAAATTCTCAGTGCCCACCTGTAGAAGTAGGAGCAGCCTCTCACTGTGTTGTGTGTGAAATGCTCTTGGCTCTTCTCGTTTCCGAAGTCCTCCAGAGGGTCGGACCACAGCAGGTCGCACATTGGCCCATACGCCGGGGGCTCCTTGAATCTGTCTAGCTGTGGGAGAAAACAAGTCTTTAAATCAGCGATCGCCGAAGAAAAAACAAACAGTTTGCTGCTGGAGTCAAAGGACACATCAAAGACGGCTCTCGTCCTTCAGAATGCGTTCCAGAAGAGACGGAAAACACTCGATGGCTGAATTTTTATTTTTAAACCCAAGAGAATAAAGGACTTTTTTCTGGAAAGGAAAGCGCCGCGTGTAGCTGCTCGGGTCACGGACACATCAGTGGCTCAGATTCTACGCACGGACCCCTGGCAGCAGCCACAAAGTCCGTTTGGAATGACAGAATTAGCCCCAGAGCAGAATGCACCTCTTCAACGCTTTTTTAATCAGAGGGAGGACCTGATCTGATCGTCTGGATCCCAAACCAGAGCAGCATCTGGGTCGGATCACGCTAAACAGCTTTTACTGCTCCTTTCAGCTTAGCTCTGAAAGTTTCAGCTTTTTCTACTATTTTAGCTACTATTTAGCTGTTTTTATGCTAATTTAAGCTTTTCAACTTATTGCCCATTTGTTACACTCATTTCAACGTTTTTCAGCCTAATTCAGCAAAAATGTGCTCTCTCTCCACATCCTTCTTGTAATTTCAGCATCTTTTGCCTTTTCAGATACTTTTCAGATGTTTTTTTTATATATATATATATAATTTCAGATTTTTTTTATATATATATATATATATATATAATTTCAGATTTTTTTTCAGGCAATTTCCACTTTTTTGTGCTTATTTCTGCTTCTTTCAGCCTAATTGGGCAAACATATGACTTTCTGCTTTCTTCTGCTTGTTCTACCTTTTCAGCTAGCTTTTTAGCTAATTTTAGCTGTTTCAGATAAATTCAAGTTTTTTATGAGAATATCTGCTACTTTCAGCCTGAATAACTTCTTTCTGCTACTTTCAGCTTGTTTTGCTCGATTCAGCTTATTTCTGGTAGTTTTAGCTTTTTTAGCCATTTCCGCTACTATTTCGATTTTGTATGTTAATTTAGCTTTTTCAGCTAATTCCACATTTTTGGAGCTCTTTTCCAATCCTTCTGCTTCCCTAGTAGTTTAAGCTTCTTTCTACCATTACAGCTACTTTCAGCTACTTTTTGTTGTTGCTAATTTCAACTCTTTTTTTTTTTTTTTTAGCTAATTTCTTAATTTTTGTGCTCATTTCTGCTTATTTAAACCTAATTAAGCAAATATGTGTTCTCTACACATCCTTCTTGTAATTTCAGCATCTTTCTGCTATTTTAGCTACTATTTAGCGGTTTTATGCTAATTTAAGCTTTTCAACAATTGCCCATTTGTTGCACTCATTTCAACTTTTTTCAGCCTAATTCAGCAAAAATGTGCTCTCTGTCCACATCCTTCTTGTAATTTCAGCATCTTTCTGC